CATTTTAGGAAAACACATAAAATAATTTAAAATCTGAGAATCTCTGAGTAAAAAAACAAAAACTGATGTCTGTGGATTAAATAAATGAAGCTTTTAGAGATAAAATGTCTTTTACATGTCACTTTTGTTTAAGGATAAACAGAAATAAAAGCAGAACGGTTATAAAAAGGACAGTTTGTTTGTTTGTTTGTTTTTTAAACTCAGCTGAAGGTCCTGAAAGTGACATAAATTTAAAATAAATCAACTCGACTAAATTTACAAACTAATTGATCAGCTTAAAGTGTTTTTTTGTGAATCTATAAATATGTTTATACTTCCTTAAGATGATAATAAATTATTTAGAATCTTCTGGTGCTCTTCATCTTTAAAAACATGGCTGCTGTTGCCATGGAAAACAGTTTTATCCCTTTAGGCCCCCTAACGAGTGCTGCAGTTTTTATCAATCCAGTTTAATGTAAAAAATAGGTTAACATGTAAAACCTGTGATTCTGGAGTCSGACGGTTTCGTCTGAGCGGCGGTGAGTCTGTGGGCGGGGTTAACACAGCGGGACGCTYGGCCTCCTGGAGGAAATCTGACAAATGGGTCGTCTCAGCAGAGGACACCAGAACCTCCTTTTTATCCTCGTCCTCCTTCGCTGCATCAGATTTCAGCCGAAGAGACGTTGAATTGGGAGGAAGAGGCCGAAGACGACTGGAGGAGAGTTTAGTTTTATTGCATCGTTTTAAAATAAAAAAAAATTGGATTTTATTTGTTTCAAAGAAAAACTTCTGTGGTTCAACCAGGTGTTGCTGCTTTACATGGTTTTACAGTAAAACAGCAAAAAGTGAGCTAAAGTYAAGCTGAGGGTAGCTAAAGGCTATCTAAAGACGGGATAAAAGCTAAAGTTAGTGAATGGCTCTGTAAAGATSGCTAATGGCTGTCTGAAAGTAGTTGATGGCTGACTGAAGGCTAGTTGCAGCTAAAGGTTAAACGTAGCTACTGGTTTGTTGAAAGTAGTGAAGGCCAAGTTACTGGGTGGCTAAAAGCTAAAAATAGCTAATGGCTGTCTGAAAGCTAATCTGAAAGTAGCAAAACGCTAGCAAAAGCTAAAGACTAGTCAATGGCTGGGTAAGCTCAAAGTATGTAGCTGTCTGAATGTAGCATAATGCTAGCTGATTGCTGGCACATAATAGCATAATGCTAGCTGATGGCTGGCACATTGTAGCATAATGCTAGCTAATGGCTGGCACATTGTAGTATAATGCTAGCTAATGGCTGGCACATTGTAGCATAATGCTAGCTGATTGCTGGCACATAGTAGCATATGCTAGCTGATTGCTGGTACATAGTAGCATATGCTAGCTGATTGCTGGCACATTGTAGCATAATGCAAGCTAATGGCTGGCACATTGTAGCATAATGCTAGCTGATGGCTGGCACATAGTAGCATAATGCAAGCTAATGGCTGGCGCGTAGTAGCATAATGCTAGCTAATGGCTGGCACATAGTAGCATAATGCAAGCTAATGGCTGGCGAGTAGTAGCATAATGCTAGCTGATGGCTGGCACATTGTAACATAATGCAAGCTAATGGCTGGCACATTGTAGCGTAATGCTAACTGATGGCTGGCACATTGTAGCATAATGCTAGCTGATGGCTGACACATTGTAGCATAATGCTAGCTGATGGCTGGCGCGTAGTAGCGTAATGCTAGCTGATGGCTGGCACATTGTAGCGTAATGCTAGCTGATGGCTGGCACATAGTAGCATAATGCTACCTGATGGCTGGCACATTGTAGCATAATGCTAGCTGATGGCTGGCGAGTAGTAGCATAATGCTAGCTGATTGCTGGCACGTAGTAGCATAATGCTAGCTGATTGCTGGCACGTAGTAGCATAATGCTAGCTGATTGCTGGCACGTAGTAGCATAATGCTAGCTGATTGCTGGCGCGTAGTAGCATAATGCTAGCTAATGGCTGGCGCGTAGTAGCATAATGCTAGCTGATGGCTGGCACATTGTAGCATAATGCTAGCTGATGGCTGGCACATTGTAGCATAATGCTAGCTGATGGCTGGCACATAGTAGCATAATGCTAGCTGATGGCTGGCTAAAAACCAAAGGTATGTCGAAGCTGTCTGGAAGTAGCAAAAGGCTACCAACAGTAGCTTAAAATATCAGAATACCAACCACAGCCAGCAGCTGAAGCAGATTAGAAATAGAACAGAGCTTCTACAGGAGCTGGAAACATCTTTGTTTTTATTTAGAGAGAAGTTTTTATAAACATTGTGTTGTATTGATGAAGCACAGATCTCCTCAGCTGCTTCAGAAACATGTAGCTAAAATCTTCTTCGGCTGATGTCTGTTCCTGTTGTCTCCTGCTCCTGACTCTCCTTCACCTTGTTAAATCTTCAGCATGAGCCTGGTGGAGCATGGCATGAATAAAGTAATGATCCTGCTTCATAAAGTGCGTGTGTGTGTGTGTGTGTGTGTGTGTGTGTGTGTGTGTGT